GGGGGGAGAGGGGGAGGAGGAGGAGGAGGAGGAGGAGGAGGAGGAGGAGGAGGAGCCCAGGTTCCTGCGATCTGGGCGTTGCAATGATGCTCACCCTTGGCAGCCGGGCCCCGGCCTCGGGCCCCGGGACAATCACACGAGATCGATCCAGCTCGAAAAATGCCCCACGAAGACGCTCGCGATGCTGCATTTCTTCTCGCAACGCCGGATCCCGCGGGGAGGCGGCGCGGCGGCGCGGCGGCGAGGCGCCGTGCTCGACGAGGACGGCATCGTGTGCACACGGTGCTCGCTGTCGAAGACGGCGACCGGCGTGACGTCGCCCGACTCGGCCGCGTCGCCTGCGCAGCCGCCACCGCGCGCAGCGCTGCGGGGGGATCGCGGGCCGGCGAACGGAGCCCACGCGCTTCTAGCCACGGCCCCGGCGTGCTGCCGTCGGCGCGACGTCGCCCGACTCGGCCGGGTCGCCTGCGCAGCCGCCCACGCGCGCGGTTGTGCCGCATCTTCGGGGGGCTTTTTTGGACGTTACTGACTGGGGGGAGGGCGGTAGTTGGGAGGGGGGGGCCTGCACCTGTTGTACCTGTGTCCCAGGGAGACCCCCCAGGGCCCTCTAGGGTGCATGTATCGCCATGTATCGCCCCCCCCAATTACGCAACGCCCGACTGCTGTTGACCCTCCTGAGGCCAGGAGACGGCCTCAGGAGCCCGACAGCATGGCAAAGACCGGGCGCCCGCGATGTTCTTGCGTCGCACCGATCTGAAGTGCTAAACCCAAACATCCGACGTCTCGTTTCTTTCCTTCAGAGGACCCCAAGATCGCCCCAGGACGGCCCCCGAGGCCCCCAAGAGGGCCCCCAAGACAGCCCCAACAGGAGGAACTCGAAGTGCAAGTTCGAGCCATCTTACCCAAGATGGCCCCCGAGGCCGCCAAGAGGACTCCAAAAGGCTCCCCACGAGGCCCCCAAAAACCTCCCGCGAGGCCCCAGGGGACCTCCAAGAGGCCCCCAAGAGGCCCCAAGAAGCTTCTGGCAGGCCCCCGACTGGCCTCCCAAGCCACGCTCCCCAGGCCTCTGGAAGCGTGGTCTGTGCACCAAGAGCCCTCTAGGAGGAAACAATCCCGAGACAGCCCAAGTGGCCTTCAGGACCGCCCCAACAAGGCCCTGAGACGGCACAGAGACCTCCAAGACGGCCCTGAAGCACTCCAAGATGGCTCCTATGGCGGCCCAGGAGGCCCAAGATGCCCCAAAGAGGCCTCCTCCTCCTCCTCCTCCTCCTCCTCCTCCTCCTCCTCCTCCTCCTCTTCCTCCTCCTCCTCCTCCTCCTCCTCCTGGACACAGATCCAATGCGGATGGAGCCCATCCACCACGGTCAGATGTTTTTGCGGGTGACGCTTCCCATTTTGGATGGGACCATTACCACTTCCGCCACCGCCTTCCTTCTCCCTCCTCCCTCCTCCCGCCTCCCTTCTCCTCCTGGGTCCTCCCTCCCTCCCTCCTCCCTCCTCGTCTCTCTTCCTCATCCATCCTTCCTCCGTCCTCCCTTTCCTCCCTTCCCCTCCCTCCTTCCCATCCTCTCGTCCTCCCTCCCCCCCAGACCTCCTCCCTTTCTTCCCTTCCTCCTTCCATGATCCTCCTCCTCCTCCTCCGCCTCCTCCTCCTCCCTCCTCCGCCTCCTCATCATCATCATCATCATCATCATCATCATCATCATCATCATCATCATCATCATCATCATCATCATCATCATCATCATCATCATCATCATCATCATCATCATCATCATCATCACCACCACCACCACCATAATCTCCTTCATGATCATCATCATCATCATCATCATCATCATTATCATCATCATCAGCATCATCATCATCATCATCATCACCCATCATCACCGTCATCACCATCATCACCATCATCACCACTACCACCACCACCACCACCACCATCATCATCATCATCATCATCATCATCATCATCATCATAAGCATCATCATCAGCATCATCATCATCATCATAATCATCATCAGCATCATCATCAGCATCAGCATCATCATCATCATCATCATCAGCAGCAACAACATCATCATCATCATCATCATCATCATCATCATCATCATCATCATCAGTATCCTCCTCATCCTCCTTCTCCGTTCCTCTTTCTTTATAAATAACTCATGTCTGTTGCACCCTGAGACGGGTCCGCAGAGCGGGCCGAGCGTTTCATTTCAGACTGCCTTACCAAGTATGATCCTGAAGCTTGACATTTGCAAAAGCTTCACGGATGGAGGGCGGGTCGTTCTCTCAAAATGTGGCTCTTCCCTTCGCGCCGCGCACATTCGTCTCGGAAACTTCTAAAACTTCACGGATGGAGGGCGGGTGTTGTTCAACATGCGGCTATTAATTACCTTAATGACCCGATGGAGGGGGATAAATTTTCAAAATGTAGCTCTCGCCTTAGCGCCGCGCACACTCGTCTGAACAGTTTGCAGTTGTTTCGCGAATGGAGATCGGATCCTTATTCAAAATGAGGTTATCGCATCAGCGCCGCGAGCCGTTGTGTTTAAATTGTGCAGAAGTTTCAATGATTATTATGGTTATCGTTCCTGGACTTGTGCTTGGGCACGATGATGGTTGAACGGTCGCGACAGGCACATTGATTCGCAGTGTTGACGTCTCACGAATGGCTTTCTGGCACGAAATACTATCATCCGGTTGCAATAACGTTGGTTCGCGGCGCTGAGCCCAAGAATGGTGCGCTGGCACGGCTGAAATTGTTCAGACGGGTGTCTCCCGACGGGGCTCTTTCCGCAGTGAAGATAAACCTCATGGGAGCCGATGGAGAAACAGAACTGAAAGGGAGGGCTCATTGCAATGTCAATGATGAATCTGGGGGTTACGCTGGTCCTCCTCCTCATCACTCAATCCTTCCATGTTGTTTTCCTTCCGTCCTTCCTGCTGCCCTTCCTTCCTCCTTCTCCTCCTGCAACCTTTTCCCCCTCCTCCCCCTCCCCCTCCCCCTGCTAATCCTGCTCCTGTTCTGGCTCCTCCTCTTTCTCCTCCTCATCTTCCTCTTCCTCTTGATATTCCTCGGCCTCGTCCTCCTCCTCCTCCTCCGCCGCCACCTTCTCCTCCTTTTCATCCGCCTGTTCCACCTCCTCCCTCCTCCCTCAGCCTCTTCCCCTCCTCCTCCTCCTCCTCCCTCCTCCTCCTCCTCCTCCTCCTCCTCTTCCTCCTCCTCCTCCTACTCCTCCTCCTCCCTCCTCCTCCTCTCCCCTCCCCCCCCTACTCGTCCTCTTCCCCTCCTCCTCCTCCTCCTCCTCCTCCTCCTCCTCCTCCTCCTCCTCCTCCTCTTCATTCGATTCCTCCTCCATCCTCCCCCTCTTGAGGTTCAGCGGATTCCCCAGCCCTTTCTCCGACTGCACACTCCTCCACAACCCTGATCAGAACAACTCGCCTGGGCATCGTTTCTCGATGGGCTGGTGAGGTTACGTTTTGAGTCAGCGGCCGCGGGCGAGCGCACCGGCGGCGAGTCCAGTCAAAGCGGGGCACGCAGCGACGAATTTGCCTAAGGCGACGGAGGGAGGCTACACCTAAAGCGGCCAACCGAGCCCTCACGCAGCAGCCCAGCGGCGGACCCGCGGGTGGGGGGACAGCTGGAGCGGAGTCGAACTGCCAGCGTGCAAGTATGCAAAGCGTCGGACACCAGGGAGTCGGGACACACGACGACCCGGGCCAGAAGCCGAGATTAATGCAAGGACGCAACCCCGGCTGGTGGGGTTACTTTTTTGGTCGGCGGCTCCAAGGCAACGGTCAAGGAGCGGAGGCGGCGTCCGGGATGCGGCACGGGGCGAATTTGCGAACACAGCCGCCACGTTGGCAAGCCAGTTCGCACCTACACAGCAAGTGCGCAGTTGCACATGCACAGAACAAAATGAACTAAATTCACAAGCAAACGAACTGGTGGGGTTACGCGAAGCGTCTAGAATAGCACGCTCCGTGGTGCCCGAGCCCCGCCCATCGGGCCCCCCCACCGCCCCACCCCCAGCCCCCTTCTCCCCTGTCGGGTCGGGAAAAAATGGGGGGGCAAAAGGTAGGGCAGCGAGCCAGCCCACGTAGCTGCTCTTCCCCTGTCCCAATCAGCCCGCTGGCTCACGCATGTGGCCAGAAAGCGAGCACGGCATTTCGCATAGGCGCGAGATATTGGTCTTCTAGAAGCAGGAAGACTTTGCCCTCCAATCCCGATTGATCATAGTAGTCTGGCTTTAGGGCCATCACTCGGCGGCCGTTCGGGACAACCTGGGCAACCCCCCACCACGCACTTGGCGAGGCGCGGGTGCTGGAAAGCATCCCGAGGCTGGAAAACCAACGAGAACCAACACCTTGAGAGACCCACGAACCCAGTACGGAACTGTAGCCACAATTTCTCTGAAACGCGTGCAGTGTTATCCCTGTGCCCGACTGCCACCACTGCCTCCTGTTTTTCTTCCTCCTCCTCCTCCTCCTCCTCCTCCTCCTCCTCCTACTCCTCCTCCTCCTCATCCCTCCTCCTCCGCCTTCTCCTCTTCCTCCTCCTTCAGTGATTATCCTCCTCCTCATCACCATCGCCATAACATCACCATCATCATCATCATCCTCATCATCATGATCATCATCATCAGCATCATTATCATCAGCAGCATCACCAGCAGCATCAGCATCAGCAGCATCATAATAATCAACAGCATACTCATAATCATAATCACATTCATGATCGTCACCATCATCAGCATGATTGTCTGCACCATCATAATCAGCAGCATCGTCGTCATCATCAACATCATCATCAGCATCATCATATTCATTATCGTCAACAGAATCATCATCGTCAGCAGCAGTACCATCATCATCATCATCATCGTCATCATCGTCATCATTATCAGCATCCTCCTCATCTTCATCATCACCATAATCACCGTCATCGGCATCATCATACATATCACCATCAGCATCATCATCGTCATCAGCATCAACATCATCGTCAGCATCGTCATCAGTAAGACAAACATCATCATCGTCATCATCTCAACATCATCATCAGCAACATCATCCTAATCAGCATCGTCAGCATCGTCATGGGCATCATGAGCATTAGCATCATCAGCAGCATCAGCAGCAGCATGATCATTATCACAATCATCGTCATCAACACCATCATCATCACCAGCATCATCGTCATCACCTTCATCATCAGCATCAGCATCATCATTAGCATTATCATCACCATGATGGTCAGCATCAGCATCATCATCATCGGCATCTGTCATGTCATCATCATTGTCATCATCATCATCACCATCATCA